TAGACGGAAAATATATCGAGGAAAAAAACACCACGAGCACAAGTAGTCGGTCACTTTCTTAACTGAGCAAAACCGCTGTAATCAATGAAGTTATTCAGTCCCGAACAAATAAGCCCACGAAAAAATTACTCACAGGAGTATCTCAACCTGGACTATGATCAGGATTGAACAGGAAAATTTAGTGCCAATCTAAATGAATTAGTACCTTGATTTGGAATGAACGAGACTTAAGTGGCTCAAAAAGAGTTGTTTTTCAGTTTCTCAGATTTTATGGAAGTCTCTCTTGGTGGAGGGACCGAATGATGGTAATTTATTTTTAGTCAATTTTAGCCAATCAGACTTAAATATTCAAAAATCTCAAAAATAGCAATTCAATCCGTAAAAATTAATATCGATCGATAAGAAAATAATCAGATGACTGAACTTTCAATTATCGCGAAACTGAAATCGGTTATGCAAAAAACGTTAACCCGATTTTGCGAACAAAATTTTTTTCTTGATTAGCTGCACCTTTGCTGCTATAATTTTCTGTTACGTGTTTTCGGTTTCGTGCAAAATTCATTCAGCCAATAAAAACGTCTAACGATTCTGATTGGTTTAAAGTTTTTCATCATTCGGTCCCTATCATTTGTGTTAAATTTACCAGCTACATGTTGCAAACACTTGTTGATAGATTTACAAAATACCTAAAAATTTACAAAATACCTGGAGAAGTAATCAAAGAGCATTTCAGCCCACCCAGTGGTAAACCCTGAAAAAAAATAGAGAAGAGATGATCAAGTTTAACAAATTAATAAATTTTGAAAACATCAACATGTGAACCTTCTGATGGTCTAAGCATACAAACAAATGTAAACCTTTGGAGCTATTTCAGAAAATAAATATTACCAACTGTTTAGATGTCAAAAAATACCAGATCATTTAAATGATTTTAGTCAGCTCAAAAAGAGCTCATCGAGGAAGAAAACTGTAGCATCCTTTTTTACGATTATTTGCTATAATGAATAAACATTTTCGTGAGCACAGAAAAACGGTTCCGAAGTAGTTGTCTGAAAAATTATAGCCAACAGAAGCTTGAAAAGTGCAAAAGAACAAGAAATCCGAAAAAAAAATTGATTCGAAACATAGCCAATAGGCAGCTGGAAAAGAGTCAATGAATGCAAGTCAACAGAAAACACAGCCAAAAGACAGTTGCAAAAGAACCAATAATACTAAAAAAAACACTGACTTGTTTTCTAAAAAATTTCAACTCTTTCTGAAAAAATCTCAAATCTCAAGATGCTCTTTGAACTTCTGGAGCAACTTATCAATAATACATTTTTGATAAAATTCACCCAATTTGAGAAAATGGCTAAAAAGGTAATTTTTTTTGTTTCGCAGAGAAATCTGAAAACTAAATCATCACGACCTATAGACGAGTCTGAAGCTACAATCATCGACTTAAAAAAATTTCAAAAACTGAAACTGATTGAACTTTCGAAAAAATAAATATTTGAAATGAAGCTCTTCCCGGTTAAAAACGGTGAGTTTTCAAGAGGTAAGGGAAATCTAAAATGAGTTTAAAATGGATCAGCGTGTAACGCACCTCCATTGCTTCGAAATTTCAACAACTCATAAAACAGCAATTATTGGAAAAAAACATCTGCATCTTTCAAATGTGTTTGACAGCACCAAATTACAGGCCTGGTAAATTCAAGTTTTTTTTAATTCAAATTTTGAAAAACCATAATTTTTTATATCTAAGTATATAATGAATTAAGAAACTTTACATCTCGGAAACTAAAAGCAATTGAGCAGTCGCAACCGGACGCAAGATTTGCACCTCCTGAGAGTTCTCTGATAGCCCCCATTTACAGGGTTTGGAATTTCAAATTTTGAAAAACGTCTAAATTTAAATTTTCTGAACATTTTTTGAAATCACAAAAAACGTCAGATCTGGAAAACTACAAAGCTTTGGGGAATCATATTCATAGGCAAGATTCGCAACCCCTAGGAGTACTCTAACAGCCTCCTAACTAAAGGGTTGGAATTTCAATTTTTCAGAAATAATCTAAATTTAAGTTTTCTGAAAAAGTTTTAAAAAACGTCATATCTCAGAAATTTCAAGGATTTGAGCAGTCATATTAGGAGGCAAAATTAGCAATTCCTGAGACTAAAAAGAAAAACCCTCACTGTAGAGATGGGAACTTTAAATTTTGAAAAATTGAAAAAATTATAACATGACATCTCGGAAACTAAGAGCATTTGAGCAGTCGCACTTGAGTGCAAGATTTGCATTTTGGAAATCCTGAGAGTACCTTCACAGTACCCAACTTCAAGGTTGGGATTTTCACTTCTGTAGATTTTTTTGAAATCTAAGATTTCTGAAAAATTGAAATGAAATCATAAAACTCGTCATATTTCCAAAAACACAAGGATTTGAGCAGCCATATTTGGAGTCAAGATTCGTGAGCCTTGAGATTACTCTGAAGGCACTCAATTACAGGGCTTAGAATTTCAAATTTAGTAAATTTTTTGGTAATTTGAGTTTTTTAAAATTTTTGAAAAATTATCAAAATCGTCGTATCTCATACACTATACGAACTTGGGCATTCATAACTGAAGAACAAATTTTCGATCAATGGGGGAATCCTGACAGCATCCCACTATTGGGCTGCTTAATTTATTTTCGGTGAAATAAACACGGAATTGAAATTGAAAAACTAAAAAAATCTTAACCATTGCAATATGCGATATAGCTTAAACGTGAAAAAATTCTTTCGTTATACATGTAAAAATAATAAGTTGAAAAAGATAGTGAAGGACGCATTTAAATATATAATAATACATAGATTTTGAACATTGTAAAAGGAGAAGTTGCACGTCGAAAACATGGAAAACTTCAGAGCGCTTAAGATTTAAAATGTGAAAACATAAGCAACTGGCATTTGGAAAAGAGTAATGATCGCAAGGAAACTAAAAAAAAATGACTTGTATTTTTGACAAGTCACTTTTTTTCAAAACAAAACTGACTTGTAAAAAAACAGCAAAACCTATATCTCGAAAAAATCAAGGATTTGAGCAGTCATAATAGGAGGCAAAATTAGCAATTCCTGAGAGTAAAAAGAAAAATCCTCACTGTAGAGATGGGAACTTCAAATTTTGAAAAATTGAAAAAAAAATATAACGTGACATCTCGGAAACTAAGAGCATTTGAGCAGTCGCACTTGAGCGCAAGATTTGCAATTTGGAACTCCTGAGAGTACCTTCACAGTACCTAACAACAAGGTTGGGAATTTCACTTCTGTAGATGTTTTTAAAAATGTGAAAACATAGGCAACTGGCATTTGGAAAAGAGTAATGATCGCAAGGAAACTGAAAAAAAACTGACTTGTATTTTTTACAAGTCACTTTTTTTTCAAAAAAAGCTGAATTGTAAAAAAACAGCAGGACCTATATAAGAGTGCTCACTACGTTCATTACTCTTGAAAAACTTTTCAAAATAAAAAAAATATCCGGCCTATGGGATTCTGACTGTCCTCCAGAGTCTGACTATTGCCTCACAACTACGCCAACCCCACCTACTTTTCTTTCAAACACCAGTCACTAATCCAATAAAATGTAAGAAAATGTAAAAAACCGAACTCGAACATACGTTAGTTTGTAATTTTTTGGAAAAAAAATCACTTTCTTGCCTTGCGGCTGTTAGAATATTAAGCATCATTTCAAATTTGGTACAGTTGTTTTCTAAACTCTAAATTGATGCTTTCTAAACTCGAAAATAATTAAAGTTTCTAAACTCTAAATTGATACTTGACAAATATTTTCTCAATCAAACGATTCCACTTCGAATAAAAAACGCAATTCAATTGATCAAAAGCTGTGAGTTACTGAACATGGTGAAATATTCCAAAGTTTTCACTTCTGAAATTTACTCTTGGTTGCATCAAAATCTGCCTTCGTTAACACATATCCCCAATGCTGCAAGACCTGCCGCACAACTGGTGATATCGAAGGATCGTCAAAGTTTTTTCCTGATTTGGCAATTTTACTGATTAGATTATTCTTCCAACGACCTCTGGGACCGGTGCTTTTCATCCATCGCCCAACTGGTCGCTCATCGTCATCACATCGGCGACCTTGGTAGAACCGACAATACCACTGAAACCATCCGTAAGGATCACAAGCTCGCATCCATCCGCTGCTTTCCCACATTTCAAGCGATCCTCCGCATTTTACTTTATACTTATTAACATTTTCATCATAGTGAGGACTAGCCACATGCTTCTTTATAGTTAAGCCTTCCAGCCAGTCATCGGGTAACTCTTTCCAGACTTCGTCATTATAATGCTGTTTAGTTACACTTGAGTAGATAGGTCGAAAATAAGTCCCACCAAAACTTCCCAGTTGAAGCACCTCTTTCGGCGTTAAATTTGGCCGAAAGTCCGGGAAATCGTCGAATATTAAGACACCGTTGCTCAATCTATCGGGTGATTTATCTGCTACTTTTTTAAAATGTTTTTAAAAATGTGAAAACATAGGCAACTGGCATTTGGAAAAGAGTAATGATCGCAAGGAAACTGAAAAAAAACTGACTTGTATTTTTTACAAGTCACTTTTTTTTCAAAAAAAGCTGAATTGTAAAAAAACAGCAGGACCTATATAAGAGTGCTCACTACGTTCATTACTCTTGAAAAACTTTTCAAAATAAAAAAAATATCCGGCCTATGGGATTCTGACTGTCCTCCAGAGTCTGACTATTGCCTCACAACTACGCCAACCCCACCTACTTTTCTTTCAAACACCAGTCACTAATCCAATAAAATGTAAGAAAATGTAAAAAACCGAACTCGAACATACGTTAGTTTGTAATTTTTTAGAAAAAAAATCACTTTCTTGCCTTGCGGCTGTTAGAATATTAAGCATCATTTCAAATTTGGTACAGTTGTTTTCTAAACTCTAAATTGATGCTTTCTAAACTCGAAAATAATTAAAGTTTCTAAACTCTAAATTGATACTTGACAAATATTTTCTCAATCAAACGATTCCACTTCGAATAAAAAACGCAATTCAATTGATCAAAAGCTGTGAGTTACTGAACATGGTGAAATATTCCAAAGTTTTCACTTCTGAAATTTACTCTTGGTTGCATCAAAATCTGCCTTCGTTAACACATATCCCCAATGCTGCAAGACCTGCCGCACAACTGGTGATATCGAAGGATCGTCAAAGTTTTTTCCTGATTTGGCAATTTTACTGATTAGATTATTCTTCCAACGACCTCTGGGACCGGTGCTTTTCATCCATCGCCCAACTTGTCGCTCATCGTCATCACATCGGCGACCTTGGTAGAACCGACAATACCACTGAAACCATCCGTAAGGATCACAAGCTCGCATCCATCCGCTGCTTTCCCACATTTCAAGCGATCCTCCGCATTTTACTTTATACTTATTAACATTTTCATCATAGTGAGGACTAGCCACATGCTTCTTTATAGTTAAGCCTTCCAGCCAGTCATCGGGTAACTCTTTCCAGACTTCGTCATTATAATGCTGTTTAGTTACACTTGAGTAGATAGGTCGAAAATAAGTCCCACCAAAACTTCCCAGTTGAAGCACCTCTTTCGGCGTTAAATTTGGCCGAAAGTCCGGGAAATCGTCGAATATTAAGACACCGTTGCTCAATCTATCGGGTGATTTATCTGCTACTTTTTTCTTCGAGGGTGATGCATGAGAACTTTCAGCACTACTGGAGGGCCTTTTCCGAGACATTGAAAGCAGCAAACTGAATCTAAAAAGACGCATCTATAATATTTTGGACAGCATCTATCTAAGCCGATTTAAATTTAAAAGAATATTTGCCCAATATTTGACAAGACGGGGGCTGAATACTTTTACAGAGAGGCGAAGTGGAGCTCCGCACTATTTACAATATATCAGTCCTAAAAAATTGAACATAATCAAAAACTCTTAGAACACTAGAACCAAAAGGAAAGTCTTTCCAAGCATGGACATAAAATTTTCGCTAAATATGCAGACTCAGTCGTTTCAACTTATACGTAACAATCGGAACTCCATAATAAAATGAAGTTACACCACTCGTCCTTCATCATCATATAAAAAGTCAAAAAAAAACATTGTACTTTATAAATCAGGGAAAGAACAATTAAGTAAGAGAAACAATAAGGATAGATTATAACATACACAAAAAATGCTTACACAAAAGGGCTTACAAACAAAAAAAGCTGAAAATTTGTTCTGAGTTGCTTGCTTGGGAAACCCTGTACTAGGGCCGGCTGCACCCTGAGCCTCAAAACCTAGCGGTTGAAAAAGATACAAATGAGCCAGTGCATTTTCTACGAAGGGCTATGGCGTTTATAACCAGTACATCGATTGCACAAGAGCTGACTGTAAACAGCTGAAGGGACGAGCGTCAAACCACCTAGTCACATCTGATATGTCCCGTGAATTGTCGTGGCTCTAAAACAAGGATTGTGAGTGGGACCAAATTTTGCTTTATAATGGCACTCAAAAAAGAATTCCTGCAATTTTCACAACAATTTTAGAATATCTGGAGATTCTCACTGAAATATGCCACGCGACCTATCTTCATAGACATACTTTCCGCGCACGCCTTTGTTTTTTGCATTTTATTTAGCTTAGGAGCCCTATTGCAATTCTGAGTTTATGGTTTGTTAATCTCAATTTCAACATTTTGCACGATATTACTTTTAACCATTGCAAAACCAACTTATTTTGGCGAGTGTTTCTTTAATTTCATCAATAGGATCAAGTTACAAGGCCATACTTCAAAATTTGCAGAATCAAACCAAAGTTTCTAAGCATCAGTTTATGTTCCAAATCAATAATTTTGCTTAAAACGTTTTCGGCTCCTACTGTTGTGGCTCAAAAGCGGGTAAACCTAGTAGACGAAGGTAAGAAACCATTGGCTGCCGGGAGGGCTACTTAAAAAATCTACATAAATTTCATTTTTACAATGTTTAATTTGAAAACGAGTTTATAAGTGATCATTCAAACCGTTCCAAAAAATCTTTTAGCAAAGGGACTTATACATGTTTAAAAAATGTTTTGGCACCATTTTTTTAGCCCAAAGACCGGATTACAAAACAACAAGAAACACATGTACTGTAAATAAAAATGACATTACGTACTGAAATCTGTGAAAAATGTTATGTACATTTCATTCTTTCAAGGAGAAAAACAATCTTGTACTCAGTTTGAATACACTTGCACTCAAACTTGAATTATATACTATATTATTGATCATGATTAATCCTTACTCGATAGAAATTGATGACTCATCAACAACAAACATTGAAAAAATCAAAATATTAAATTTGATGATTTTAGTGATCCATAAATGGAAAAATTATTGAAAACCAATTTTGCTCATTCTTTCACGGTTAAAGATATACACACTGGGTGCTGATTAACATTTTGGACTCTTTTCAATATTATCACTAAATCATACAATCTATACTGTTTTGGATCTTTATATGTCGCACTAAAAACGAAGGTAGAAAAGTACGCGGGAAATTTGATGAATCTGATTCAAAGATTTTCAAATATTCAAATCAGAAAACGTTGCGTTTTGGGAAGTGCAGTCTGTCAAGAAACATGCTTTTTGGGAAGTGCAGACTGCTTTTTGGGAAGTGCAGACGGCGAACAAAAAAATTCACAGCAAAAACAAAAAAGCATAAGTTCAGATCAACCCCAATGACCCATCTTTTCATTTATGCTTCAATATGCACACTAAGAGAGACATAGAAGCCATTACAGGTCCCATTGAAAAAGTCTAATAGGTTCTAAAAAGCAAACCATTCGATTTTTATATTTATGCTTTCAAAGTATCATTCAAAAACACAATGAGGTCAAAAATGTCTTTGCATGACATTGGTGAAAACACAGTTTTAAGTATATAAGAAACATGGTTAGAAAGAGACAGTATCACAGTATGGATATTTGACCTATGACGGATGTGATGTTTAAATATGCAAGACGAGCAGTCATAAAACGTGCTGGTGTTCAATAACTTGGTCATAACTTGGTAAAATGGCGCTTAAAATTGAGAGATGATTCAATTCAGTTGAATGAAGAAAAACAAGATTCAAGGTGAGTTGGAATTAAATCTAATTTTAAAGCTTCCGTTAAACGCAAGAAATGGTGATTAACTTGCGTTTTTAATTTTTAAGAACATTTTTGAGTTTCCAAAACAGTTAAAGCTCAATATCGATAATGCTATTTCGGTTTCTAACAAAATTACATTTTAGGTGCTTATAAAATTAATTACTTGAACAACACAATTAAAACAAATTGGAATCTGTTTTTATTCCATGTGAATTAAAAGCTTTTTTTCCCAAATGAGATGAGCCAGTGCATTGGCGAAACCACAGCCTCAAAAAAAACAAATATTAGTGAATTTTGTTTTGATTCACCGTATATAACAGATCTATTTGCGGCCCTTGTAGTTATTTATAAGCCTTGAATTGGAGAAAACCTGCTGAAGATAATTTTCTCCTCTCTCTTTTTTATTTATATTATATCAGGGTAAAGAGACAGAATATGTTTTACTAACACTTTCAGCAACGTGCGAGAATCGAAAACAAATTTGTTCTTTATTATAAACCCACAAAAGCTGAAAATGGATTGGTTTCATTCAGATAGCTAGCAAAATTAAGGATTTAACTAGAGACGCTAACAGCTTACAGAATCAAAACTCGTGGAACCAGATTCAAACTATAATTTATTATTGGTTATAATTTAGATATTTTATCCCTATAAAATATTAAAGACTAACCAATCACACTCCATCAAACTAACCCACTTATTTGTAAGTTCTGAAATTACTTGTAATTTCAGCACCAGAGTGATTTGAATTTAACTTACAACTTAGTTGCTTTCTCCAAGAGACCGAATCGCAACAAAACCAGTATACTCTAGATCTACTGACACTAAGAGATATAAGAGTAAGATTAAGATCGGTATTGACTAAAAAGCTGCACGAATCTATCCAGCCGAAAAAAAGATAGCGTGACGGGCAGACGGTGTACCCTATCTGAAATTACTCTATGAGTTAGACCTAAGAACCCAACTCACTCGAGTAAATTTTCCAAAATTACCATTTTACCTCAAACAATCGATTGAATAAACAATCGTTAGACCGATACACAAAATAACCAAAAAATACAATAAGAAACTGTTAGTCATAAAAAAATTAGAGAGATTAGGCTTCAAAACTTAAATTTTTACACAACCTGAATTATATTTAAGATTTTTTTCAAACGATTAAAATAAAGTTCAATAAGCCTATAACACATACGCCGTACATTTTTTTTTGAAATTTTAAAAATCAAACCCCGAGCTGTTTAATCGACCAAACAAAAGGACACGCAATGACCGTCAATTATAATAAGAATTGTTTCATCAAAAAAAAATCCATTCTTTGAAAATAAAGCCGACAATTAGGCAATCGAAAATCGATAACTCAACTTACTTTTTGTATTGATAAGAATCCAACTTCAACACAGAGGTGACGCGGAGCTTCGCACCACTTGCGATACAACACACTCATCAAAAAGCAGAAGAAAAGAATGAAAAAATTTTGAAAAAAAATTAGGTTAACCAAAACTTTCGTATGTTTCGATGAAGGAAACCTAGGTGCCAGGTAAAGCTTGTAGGTACGTGTTTGATATTTTTTAATTCGGCATACTGATGCGGGACAAAACTGTGATTTAAAAAATGGACTTTCCCAAAACCATAGCTGTTTCTCTACTAAATTAAGTGAGAAGTGAAAATTTTTGTGATTTTGGAATTTTCCCAAAGACAAAACCTTTCTCTGACAAAACATTAAGTAGCCGCTAATAGAGGAGAAATTTGCTCAACCGCTTCCCTCGATTGAAATTTTCATCTCAGATTTGATAGGTTAGTATTAAGGAAAATTAAAAAGTTCAAAAAACGGTCAAAGTTCAAAAACTTGACCCGTAAAATTTTCTCCTAAAAGCCGTCACTGTTTCTGCTTAAAGCAGATCGTGGCCAGCAGTGTAGAGAAAACTCCTGAAACCAGGTTTCTCGATAGTACAACTTAACATGAGATTTGGCACGGTAATTTTCGAGCTGAGTAAAAAAAATTCTTAGAAACTGTCAAAATTTCAACTTTCACTTGCTTGAAGGCCATTAATTGTTTCTAAACAATTGGGCGTTGCAAATTATAAAGGTAAGATTCGAACAGCTTCTTGTAAGGATTAAACCTATGATATCAGATTTGGCAGGATAGTTATTGAGAAAAGTCAGTCAACAAAACAAAAAAAAAAGAAAAACAAGAAAAAACAGTCAATAAATCAGAAAAATGGCCTTTCTGAGAACCATGCTTTTAGTTTGTAAAAGAATCGACGTAGCCACTTATGCAGAAGAAATTCACTCAACCTGTAATTTCGATTGAACCAAAACACCCAGGTTTGGCAAGGTAGTTCTCAAAAAACAGTCGAAAAATCAAAATTTCAACTTTGCCTAGGGCCATATCTTTTTGTGCCAAAAGAATTTGGGCGAAGTCGCGTATGCAACGAAACTTTCCACAATCTGCTCTTTGCATTGAACCCAAAAATGGAAGGGTATTTCCCCCACTATTGAGCTTCCCACTACCTGTTATCTCCATTGAACGCACAACCTCAGGTTTGAGAGGTTACTTTGATAAAAATTAACAAAAATTCAAAACAATTTTCGAATCCGTTCTATTTATTTGAACCAGAATCTCAGATTGAAAAAACAAACAAAAATAATCAAAAA